GCAATCACTGTCTGGGTAATGTAGAACCCCTGCTTTGTACATACATGCATACATACATACCTAAAACATAAACACATGCATACATACATGCATGTATGCATACATTCGTTCATACACACATACATACAAGCACGCATGCATGCATGCATACGTAACTACATTTGTACATACAAACATACATGCATGCATGCATGCATACATTCATTCATATACACCTGCACACATGCATCTACAACTACATACAACTATGCATACACTTATGCCTATACCTATATATATACATGCACACATACACAAACACAGATGGACGCATACATGTATACATACATACCTACGTACATCCATGCATCCATCGATCCATCCATACGTCCATACATGCATACACACAGCTCTACATATGTAGACATGCACAGTTGCACATGTATATACTAGAAGAACGCGCCTGCGCTTCGCGCGCGCTTATATTCTAGCCCATATGCGCCACGTTTACTGGCTCTCGCTTTCGCTCGTCTGATCTGCTTCGTTGCGAAGTCCGCTGCACGTGGGCGTTGAAGAGCCTCCCTCCGCCTCGGCCCCTCCCCCTCCCCCTCCCTCGTCATCGATCGTCCTTATCCTCCTCCTCCTCCTCCTCCTCCTCCTCGTCCTCCTCCTCGTCCTCCTCCTCCTCCTCCTCCTACTCCTCGCCCTCCTCCTCGTCCTCCTCCCCTCCCTCGTCATCGTCCTTATCCTTCTCCTCCTCCTCCTCCTCCTCCTCCTCCTCCTCGTCCTCCGCCTCCTCCTCCTCGTCCTCCTCCTCCTCCAGCTCTCCGCGCTCCTGCTCCTGCTCCTGCTCTCCCTCCTCGTTCCCTCCGCCTCGTTGCTCCATTATCACACGACTTCGTCCTTGTCCTCTTCCCCCTGCTTTCCTCCTCCTTCCCCCCCTTCCTTCTGTCCCATCTCCTGCTCTTTCTGTCGGTCGGTCCCTCGTCCTCGTCGTCGTCGTCGTCGTCCGTCGTCGTCCGCCGCCGCCGCCGTCGTCGTCGTCGTCGTCGTCGTCGTCGTCGCCGTCCTCGTCGTCTTCCACCGTCGTCGTCGTCGTCCGCCGTCGTCGTCGTCGCCGCCGCTACTGCCGCAGCCGTCGTCGTCCTAGTCGTCCTAGTCGTCGCCGCTGCTGGCCGCCGCCGCCGCAGCCGTCGTCGTCGTCGCCGCCGTCGTCGTCGTCGCCGTCGCCGCCGCCGCCGCCGCCGCCGTCGTCGTCGTCGTCGTCGTCGTCGTCGTCGTCGTCGTCGTCGTCGTCGTCGTCGTCGTCGTCGTCGTCCTCGTCGATGTCGTCGTCGTCGTCGTCGTCGGTGTCGTTGTCGTCATCATCGCCCTCCTGCTCTTCTTCCTCCTCCTGCCGCCGCCGCTGCTGCTCCGCCCGCACACCCGTCTCGGCACGCCCTCGCGCAGAGCGTGCCCCACAGTGGGCGGCTCGCGTCGCGGTTCGAGCCTCGAAGCTCGAGGATCGCGGTTCGGGGTTCGAGCCTCGAGACTCGATCCTCGAGTTTCGAGGCTCTTCCCTGTCGCCGCGGCCGGTCGCGGCTCGACAAGCTGCTGCGTTTAGACCCAGGGAGGGGTCCGGATATCTATTCTGAGCGGATTTTGGCCGCCGGGTCTTCGTCGTCGTCGTCGTCGCCGGCGCCGCGGTCGCCGCCGTCGTGGTCTGCGCGGCGCCCCCGAAAGGGAGCTCCACCGACGGCTCCAACAGGAGGGGTCGCATGGCGTCCCTCCGCACATTTCGGCACACACCTGAGGCGGATCGCACCCCGCAAGGATCTCCATCTGTGGCACCCGGCACCTGTGGCGCCCGTGGACTCGGGCGAGTTTGCAAGCAGCCAGTCGTCCGAATGCACCGTGGGGGCGACTGCAATTTAGGGGCCGATATCCTGGAAGGCATGGGTTTTGCTCGAGCTGCGGGGGGTCAGCTGATCGCTACTTCTGACGACGCCCACGACCCCTCCCAGGGCCCCCCCTCTAAGTTTGATTTCTTTGCTGTTTCGGACCCCTTGGCCGTGGACAATTTCGCATGGCGTCCCCACGCCCGTTTCGGCGCCGGTACACGCGGATCGCGCTCCACTCGGGGATCTTCTGACCCGGGTCAATCCAGACGCGGGTCAGCGGGAAACCAAAAACTGCACTGCAGGAACCAAAAACCTGCAACGCAGATCTTCGCAAACCCGGGTCAGCCAATAATCGCGGCCGCCTCGCGGCCACGAGCGGCTCGCTAACCCGGGTCAGCCAGAGGGGGTCTTCGCAGGATCCCGCAGGATCTGGCGCCCTGGCTGACCCCCGTTTGCATTGACCCCCGTCTCAAGGCTCCCGATCCACAAGGAGCTGCACCTCCGGCCTCCGTGGGCGCTCTCGCGCGGCGGGCGCCCTCTTACGCGGATCGCGCCCCACGGGGTGGTCGACGTGCCTGTGCGCGCCAGCTCCGCGGCGACCCCCTATCCGGTTCGGGTGTTGCTAGAGGTACCCCTGGCCCAAGGTGCCCCCAGCTTTTCGCTCCATTTTGGAGCCCATGGGGCCCTCTGGGCCTCGTGAGGGGTGCTTTGGAGGCCGTTTGGGCTACCCCGAGAATCATGGGGGCACCTTGGCCCAGGGGCACTTCTAGCAACACCCGACCGGTGTGCCCCGCGGCGCGCAGTATTTGAAGAGAGAGCTGCGCCCTGCGCTACACGCATCTGCAGAAGAGGTGGGCCCGCTGTCGGGCGAAGTGATTGCTACTTCTTCTTACACGCACACACATGAACACTGACGTACAAGCGTGCATGCGTGTATACATGCGTACGTGCATGCATACACACATACACATACAAACAAAATCTGTGCCGATCAGGCGGCGCCTTAGGAACGGGCCTAGGCTGTGGACCAGAGGCGTTTCTTTGGAAGTCTCTCAGATGCCCTCCTGGGGCCTCTTGGGGGTCTCCTGGGGGCTTCCTGGCTGGGGGCCTCCTGAAGCCTCTTGGAGGACTCTTGGGGGGCATCTTGGGGCCTCTTGGGGGCTTCTTGGGGGCGTCGGGGGTCCTCTTGGGGCGGGATGCTAGAAATTTCAGTTGGAGTTCCCCACCTTGGGCTCCTCTTTAGGGGCCCGTTTGGGTCGTCTTAGGCGCCTCTTACACCATCTTGGGGCCACTTGGGGCCCTCTTGGGGCCCTCTTGGAACCCTCTTGGGCCGTCTTGGAGCGACCTTGGACCAAAGAAGCGAATCTGCTAAAAACGTACGTTTTACAAAAAGGAATGGGGCGATGGTCGCTTGTAGGGGCCGTCTTGGGGGACCTCTTGGAGGGATTTCCGGGGGCCTTGGACGCCTCCGGCGCCGTTCGAGACGCCTCGTGAGCCGTCAGACACCTCTGGAGGCGGCCTTGAGGGTGGCTCGCGACCGTCTTGGGGCGCCGTGGCGCCCATCGGACCGCTCCCCGGAGCGCTGTTGGGACCCCCAGAGGCGGGCCTGGCCCCCTGGCACCGCATTCGACGTAGAGGTCGTCGCCCCCAGGCCCCTGGGCCAGGGCCTCGGATATACAAACATACGTACGTACATACATACATTCATACATACAGACATACATGCTTACATACATCACATGCATGCATACATACATCACATGCATGCATACATACACGCATACACACATGCAAACAAACAAACATACATGCATACATACACGCGTGCATACATACGTATATGCATACATACCAACATGCCTACGTCCATCCATACATACATCAATCCACACATACACGCATACCTACGTACATACGCACGTACATACATACCTACATACATACATACATAAAGACATACACACATGCACACGTACATGCATCCATACAACATGCATGCATACATACACACATACACGTACACACATATGCGCGTATGCAAGAACAAATGCGCGTACACACATATTTATATACATACACACATGCATACATGCATATATGAATGCATATATGTATAACTGCATGTATATATCTATGCATGCGTACACACATACCTACATACATGACTATATACGTATGTACATACAGGCATGCATATCCACACATATACATACTCACATGCTTGCATGCATATAGACATGCTGACACGTATGCACACATGTATAGATGTATACATGCCCTGTGTGTATGCGTACGTATACACCTATCCATACAATTCGGGTTGCTGTCTGGGGCTGCTCCTGGCGCCGTCTTGTGTGCTCTTGGGACCGTCTTGGAGCCCTGGCGGAGTCGTCCTGGGGCAGATTGGGAGGCACCAGGGCTATCCTGGGGGCCCTCGGAGCCTCCAGAGAGAGGCCGCGGGGGAGCGCGCCCTCCTCCTTCCGCCTCCGCCGACTCCTCCTGCTTCTCTTACTCCTCCTGCTCCTCCGTCCCCTCCCCCTTCTCCTCCTCCTCCTCCTTCTCCTCCTCCTGCTCCTGCTGCTCCCCCTCCTCCTCCTCCTCCTCCTCCTCCTCCTCCTGCTCCTCCTGCTCCTGCTGCTCCCCCTCCTCCCCCTCCTCCTCCTCCTCCTCCTGCTCCTGCTGCTTCTCCTCCTCCTCCTCCTCCTGCTCCACTTGCTCCTCTTGCTCCTCCTGCTTCCGCCTCCTCCTGCTCCTCCTGCTCTCCTACTGCTCCTCCTCCTCTTCCTCCTCCTCCTCCTCCTCCTCCTCCTCCTCCTCCTCCTTGCTACCACCCCCCAGAACACTCTACGGTCATGAACTCTGGCTTAGCGTGTCGCGGGGGCGGCCCCAGCCAGACGCTATTCCCTGCGAGTGTATAGCGTGTCGTTCCGCTCCGCGGGCCAGGAGGCTGGGAAAAGCTCGGGGCGTTGACCAGCAAGGGGACAGCGTGTCGCGCCTGAGCGCGGTAGGCCAAAACCGGCGGAACGACACGCTAAGCCAACGTTTCCGACCGTAGAGGCTTCACCGACTTGTGACCTCCCTCCCCTCCTCCTTCCATTCCTCCTCCCTCCACTCATCCTCCCCTCCCCCATCCCAGGTCTCCATGGAGTACGCATGCGCGCTGTTCATCTCCGCTTTCTCCAACTCGCCGATCTCTCTCCGGAACCGGTCCTGCGAACGGAGGGGAGGGGGGGGGGAAGAGAAGGGGGAGGAGGAGGAGGAGGAGGAGGAGGAGGAGGAGGAGGAGGAGGAGAAGGATGAGGAGGAGGAGGAGGACGAGGAGGAGGAGGAGGAGGAGCATCCAACCCCTGCTCCTTCAATCAGGAGGCTCCCAGAAGTCCGCTCATCACGCCAGCCATGCAACAACAAAAGACCCCAGAGCGTCGGCCTTACGACAGACACTCTCGGTGTGAACCGATACCAGGCCCGAGCGGCCCGTCGGGCAGGGCTGGGGGGAACATCGCCGATCCAAGAATCCAGCGCGGACATCCGAGAAATACTGTTTATGATTGTTGTTGGCCCTTCGAGGGATGGGGGGATGGGAGGGCCCCCTGCTGGGCCCGAGTGGCCCCTCGAGCAGAGCTGCGAGGGAAGGAGGGAGGAGGGAGGGCAGAGGGCGAGGATGGAGGGCGAGGATGGAGGGAGGAGGACGAGGATGCAAGGAGGGAGGGCGAGGATGGAGAGAAGGAGGGCGAGGATGCAGGGAAGGGGGCAGACAGAAGGGACAGGCGAGAGGGGGAAGGGGCTGATGGCAACCCCGAGGGCTGCATCTCCCCCTCTCTCTCTCTCTCTTCCCCCTCGCCCCTCTTCCTCCTCCTCGTCCAAGTCCAGACGTACAGCGCGAGTCCCCAAGAGCGGGCACGCCGAAACAAAAAACCTAGCTATCTGGCTCAGGCCAGCTCTTAAACCCTGGGGGAAGCTTCCCTTCCTTGAGGGACTTGATCACCCGCCTACCCCACACGCCAACGCGATCAGGGCGGCAGCCTTCCCCCAGCTTGACGAATTTCCCCCTGGTCCCAGTTGCCCCGCACATCTGGCACCAGAAAACCCCCTTACACTCGAGCCGATGCGAGGGATCAATGCCGTGCGGGACCTTGGGGCAGGGGGTTGCCGGCCACTCTTGCAACTTCAAATCGCCTGTCGGTCGGGTGGGGCAAAGGCCACATCTGACACCTTTCAGGTCCGAGACGACCCTCCTCCTCCTCCTCCTCCTCCTCATCATCATCATCATCATCATCATCATCATCACCACCACCACCACCACTCCCATCATCATCATCATCATCATCATCATCATCATCATCATCATCATCATCATCATCATCATCATCATCATCATCATCATCATCATCATCATCATCATCATCATCATCATCATCATCATCATCATCATCATCATCATCATCATCATCATCATCATCATCATCATCATCATCATCATCATCATCATCATCATCATCATCATCATCATCATCATCATCATCATCATCTTCCATTTTACCTCCTCATCGCGAGTTCCTCCCTGGTCCCTCGCCACCCTCCTCCTCCTCCACCTCCTCCTCCTCCTCCTCCATCTCCTCCTCCTCCTCCTCCTCCTCCTCCTCCTCCTCCTCCTCCTCCTCCTCCCATGCTCCCTCTGCGTGGATCCTCCCTGCGAGGACCTTGTGGCTGATAAGCACCATTGTCGTGCTGGGGGGAAAGGGCTGGGAACATACAGGGCGCGCCTGCGTAACAAACACATTCAACATACGCGATAGCACGGATGATCTGATCACCTCTCCCAGCCCGATCCTCCCAACCCGCTAACTGTCGTTCTGAGTGGTGGCACTCATGGTTGAGCAGGGACCGACCGTCCCAGGATTCCTATAGTCCTACCGCGACATGTTCTTAGAACCCAAAAATGTTATAATAACGAAAACAATGTTCTTAGAACATAAACTCGATGTGATAAAACAAGACAGACTCCACCAGAAATGTTCTAAGAACACTTCGTGGAAACCACAAAAGGTCCTTAGAACATTGTTTGGTATGGCTATAGGCGAGCCAGGACGCTTCGCCACTGCTTGAATGAGGGCCGGCACACGCTACGTGCCATCGGCGGAGCCCACCGGGGCAAACTGTTGTCTTGGGTCGGAGCGGCCCAGGTCAACGGGGGCGACGACATCGGGCTGCGTCGTGTGCGTGGCGAGGGCCCTCCCCCTGTTGGGAGGAGCAGGAGGAGGAGGAGGAGGAGGAGGAGGAGGAGGAGGAGGAGGAGGAGGTCTGAGAAGCGCACCACGCGCGGTGTGGCGGTCGGCATCGCGGAGGCAATCGTCGAGGCCTGTGCCCGTGCGCGCCGAGCTCGCGGGCGGCCGCGCGGCCTCTCTCCGCCGTGCCCTCCTCCTCCTCGCCCCGCGGGCGCCCGCGACGGCACGGCGAGCTGCCTGGGTTGGCTGGTTGTGAACCAGCTCAGTCGATGGTGGCCAAAGCAAAGTTTTGACTTCCTCGTGCTCCTCCTCCCTCCTCACTCTTCCTCCTCCTCCCTCCTACTTCCCATCCTCCACCTCTTCCTCCTCTTCCTTCCGCCTCCTCCTCCTCCTCCTCCTCCTCCTCCTCCTCCTCCTCCTCCCTCCATTTCCTCCAACTCCTCCTCCTCCTCCTCTTCTCCTCCTCCTCCTCCTCCAACTCCTCCTCCTCCTCCTCCTCCTCCTCCTCCTCCTCCTCCTCCTCCTCCTCCTCCTCCTCCTCTTCCTTCTCCTCCTCCTCCTCCTCCTCCTTGTCCTCCAACCTCCTCCTCCTCCTCCTCTCCTCCTCCTCCTCCTCCTCCTCCTCCTCCGCCTCCTCCTCCTCCTCCTCCTCCTCCTCCTCCTCCTCCTCCTCCCCCTCCCTCCTCCTCCTCCTCCTCCCCTCCTCCTCCTCCTCCTCCTCCTCCTCCTCCTCCACCTCCCCTCCTCCTCCTCATCCTCCTCCTCCTCCTCCTCCTCCTCCTCCTCCTCCTCCTCCTCCGTCACCTCCGTCACCTCCGTCTCCTGCGTCTCCTCCGTCTCCTCCTCCTCCGCGCGCCACCTCCGCAGTCCTCGTCCCGCCGCGCGCGGGCGACCTGCGGCTCCCATAGGGAGGACGGAACGATTGGCCAGGCTCGCAGTCCTGGCGGGGGCTTGCCTTGCCTGAGTCGGGAGAGTGCCCGTTTCCGCCCGTCTGTAGAAGGTGACTACATACCAGACCACCCCAACCCAACCCGAAGACCCGAATTCCGGGTTGGGGGGGGTATGGGCCCCATACGTGTTTTTTCGATGTTCCCGGACCCCCCCCCCCCACTAGAAATCGAGGGTAAATCTGAGCCTTCGGGTTGGGTTGGGCTGGTTTGGTGGGTGGTGAGGAGGGGCGCAAGAGAAAACAGACCTCTTGGCCGCGCAGCGCCACTCCTGGTGCACCGCTGGATCCCCGTGAGCTCCTGTAAGGAGGGGCCGTGGCTGGGGTGAAAGCGGGTCCGTGGGCCTCTGGGGACACACAGGGGGGGGGGCTTTGAGCCACGAGGGGGTCCTCCTAATTACGCTGCCTACTTTACCACAACGGCTGCAAGAAACATGGAAAAGAGGGGGGGGGCACAAGTGAGACGGTGTGGGGTCCGATCGAGTTCGCCCGAAGGGCCTCAACGCTACGGTCAACCTTCACTTCCCTACGGGCATCCTTGATGTCCTCCCCCTCCTCAACTCCCTGGGAATCCTTGTGGTCCCAATCGTATTGTTGGACTGCCGCCAAGCTGTCTCTGACAAGGTCGGCGTTGATGTCTGTCCCTTCAAACTGACGGACGAGACCGTCGGGAATTCTTCTCCAATGGGCTGCTTCTGAAACGAGCTTGCCTGCATGATGATTGAGGTGTAGGGCCCACAAGGGCTCAGGACCTGCTTCTCCTCGGTGGGATGTCTTTCGACTTTGTAGGGCATCATATGGTCCCTGCGGCCGCTGGCAACACTCCGAAACTTCTTCCAAATCGAGACCTTCTTGGGATGCCGAAGCCGTGGGCCTCGCGTGAAGCCTGTGATGACATAGGCGCAAGCTGTGATGATGATCAGTGGTCCCCAGCGGACTGGAGCAAAACGATGACCGCGTCGAGCTCCGCGAGGGGGACGATCTGGGACCCGATGGTGCCCCCCTGGATGGTCCCTTTCCAGGCGAGCTCGGGGGTCCACAAGGAGACGCTCCATCCACAGACTCGGAGTCGTGGATCTCGGATGTGGGCTCCACCGCTGCCGTCTGTGGCTGCCGCGAGCCGCGAGTCGGATTCGTAAGGTTGATGCTGCTCGAAAATTCCTTTGCAGACCGTGTCCTGCCCGAGCCCGAGGATGTGGGAGTGGGCCTTCCGAAGAAGAGTGGCGGGGATAATACATCTGAGCCAACGGGCTGGGTTTGCTTGAGATTCTGCTGCGAGGAGGAGAACGAGGAAGGAGCAGGATGAGGAGGATGAGGACTCGACACTGTCCGCAGCTCGAAGCTCGAACGAGGAGGAAGAGGAGGAGGCTCCTGCAGGGACTTCAGCATGTCCAGGATCATGCTCCCCTGGAACTTGTACGCCGCCACGGCCGGCGCTCCGGAGGGCATCTGCCCGTCGTGGTCTTCTAGCTGGGGAAGGCCCGCTCTTTGGTGTCTGGCTTGCAGGGCAAGTGGCATCAGAACCAGAGGGTGATACGGCTGGGGACCTTGCGCCCAGCACGTCGCGGCGACGGTCCCGGCGACGCGCTGCCCCCTGCAAACGCACAGCGTGTCGCTACGCCTCCGCGGGGTGGGACGCTGGGAAGCTCTCGGGACGTCGACGCTCGGGAATGGGGTCGTGGATGGCGTGTCGCGCCGAAGCGTGGCCCCTCCCAAACCCACCCCGCCCCGCCCTTTCAGACAACGCTGCGCGCGCGCGTTTCGCACAAATCCTGCACGTCGAAGCCCGTGCAACGGACATGACAACGTCCACGCGCGCGCGGCGCCGCGCGCGCATGCCTGCGCCCTGACAAAAGACTTTGGCGTCGTTACCAAGCCCCCGGAAACATGTGAATACAACGCTGGTGCTGGAACGTCGTCTCACAAAACAAAATGCGCGCGCTCGTGCGAACTTGTACGGAGCCATTGGTCTTTCAACATCCTCATCAAATACAACCCAGCGGGCCTCCCGCGCGCGCATGTCGAAATCATTCGAACGCCCTTTCACGCTTGCTGGGAGGGGGGCGCGGTCCGCAGGCCACTCACGCCCGTCGGACGCGCATGCGTGTCGAAAACCTTCCGGCACCTTCATCGCCCACGCGCGGGCGCCACCATCGTCATCGACGTGATCAGCATCGGCGCCGTCATTGGCTTAGCCGTCCTCATCGTCATCATCGCCACCATCATCGCTGCCATCATCATCGCGCGCGCCCTCGTCGACGTCACCGCGGCACCGCGCCCGCCCGGGTCGCCGACTCGCGATCAAGTGCACGCGCGGCAGAAGGCGCTGGGAAGTCCCCAGCGGTCAGCGCCACCGCGGCCAGGTCGGTTGTGCCAGACTAGCTGGCCGCTCTGCGAGCGAGGATGCGCGCGCCAGCGCAGCGACAGCGATGCGCCAGCCAGCGCCGAGCAGTTATCAGAATCGTTGCCGCGCTGGTTCGGCAAACCAAATTGCGCTGGGGCGGGTGGTGTGTTTGCGCGAGCAGCGGAATTGACAATATTTTAGTTCTTCAAACTTAACCACGCCACGTAGAGTGCACCACGTAGAATGCGCAACATACATAGCACCTCATTGATTGTACCACGTAGCCACATAGCTTGCACCACAAATATTCTTTTCTGGAAATTGAACCGGATCTACCCGCCCCCCACGCACACACTCAAGGGTTGATCGTCTTCTCCTGAGATGCGACAGTTTACATTTGATGCTGCCCCACCTCAGTGTCAAAATATGAACTCACACAGTCCCAACTCGATTCGTTATTGCCCCCTTCCCCCTCATCCGTGCCAAGTGCTACTATGCGCGCGTGCCCGTTTATAACAGGTCATGCATGTCCAACAACACCTTGCAACACAAATGAGGCAACGTCGAAACGCGCGTCGCCGCGCGCACATGCCGAAATTGCTCAGAAACCTGAGGTGCCGCATGGCTTTCAAGATCGGCTTCCCCCAGAAAGCATCTCTCTCTCTCTATATATATGTATATATAACACAAAACCATGGATGTGCCACATGGTGTGTCAAACAAGTCTGCGTGTGTACCCTTGCGATTGCTTGGGGGAACCATGGGGTTTCGACCGTTGCATCATGTGGAACCAAGCAAGCCTCCCGAGCGCGCGTGTCGAAATCATTCGGACCCCCCTGCGCGCTTGCTGGGGGGCGCGGTCCCTGCCACGTAAAGCCGCGCGGGCCCCTCGCGCACGCCGGCCGCGCGCGCGTCGACATTCCACCAACACCTTCATCACCGACACCTGGGCCCCGTCATCGTCGCTGGATTGACCAGCATCGGCGCCGTCACTGGCCGTGCCGTCGTCATCGTCATCATCGTCATCATCACCGCTATCATCACCATCGTTTCCGCCGTGGTCGACGTCACCATGGTACCGCTCCCGCCCGTGCCTCTGGTTCCCAGGCAAGTGCCCGCGCGTCAGCGCGGCCCGTGAGACGCGCTGGAAAGTCTCCAGCAGCGGTCAGCGCCGCCGCGGCCTCGTCGGTTGTGCCAGGCTAGCTGACTAGCTGGCCGCTCTGCGCGCGAGGATGCGCGCGCCAGCGCGGCCGCATAGATGCGCCAGCCAGCACGAAGCACCCATCGCAATCGCCGCCGCATGGGTTTTGTAAGCCAGGTTGCGGGTGGGTGGGTGGGTGGGATGACTGCGCAAGCAGTGGAGTTGACAACTCGAAGTTCTGCAAAAATATTGCATCACGTAGACTGCACCACAGCGGTTGCTCCACATATGTCGCACAACGTAGATTGCACGACAGAGATCGCACGACATATCTTGCACAACATAGACGGCACAACGCGGATCGCACACACAGATCCTCCTTTTTAAAAAGAGAATAGACTCTACCCCCCGCCCCCCGGCGTTATCGGTCCCCCTTTCGGGTATGTAAATCACATATGATTCTGACCACATGTCCATCCTGAATGTGAATTTACACTATCTCTGGGGGGCTGGGTTCCCCCCCTGTAAAAAAAACACCATGCGGTGACATTGTTTGCTCTAACATAACAATTTGTCGCGAATCCTTCAAAACATGTGACGAAGTGCGCACGCGCGCGTCGTCGCGCGCGCATGCCGAAATCCTTCAAAAACCTTCGGTGCCGGAAGGATTTCGCAATCGAGCTTCAAGAAAAACATACAAAAACACAGGGTTTCGTAACACTGATTTGCTAAATTAGCTTACGCGCGAGCTCTTGCGAAATCTTAAGAAACCATTGATTGGTTCTTCAAGATTTTCACAACATGCTACCAAACGGGCGTCGCGCGCGCATGTCAAAATCTGTCGAACGCCCTTGCGCGTGTGCCGTCGCGAGAATCCTTTGCAAAAATGGGACGAAGTGCAGTCGCGCGCGTCGTCGCGCGCGTACGCCGAAATCCTTCAAAACCCATCGGTTTCGGAATTATTTCAAAATCGCGCGTCCAAAACAACCTACAAAAACACAAGGTTTCGCAACACGGATTTTCAACAAAAGCGTGCGCGCGCGCTGTTGCGGCGTCGTCGTCGTCGTCGTCGTCGCCGTCCTCCCTCCTCCCGCGTCGTCGTCGTCGTCGTCGCCTACGTCGTCCTGTGTCTTTCATGGTGTTCGTCGTCGTCGTCCTCTTTGGCGTCGTGGTCGTTTCCGTCGTCGTTGTCGCCGTGGTCGTCCTTCCTCCTCCTCCCTCGTCGTCGTCGTCCGTCGTCGGCGTCTCGTCGTCGTCCCTCCTATTTCGTCGCCGTCGTCGTCGTCGTCGTTGTCGTCGTCGTCTCGTCGTCGTCTTCCCTCCTCCCTCGTCGTTGTCGTCGTCGGCGTCGCCGTCCTTCCTCCTTCTTCGTCGTTCGCGTCGTCGCCGTCCTCCCTCCTCTCGTTGTCGTCGTTGTCGTCGTTGTCGTCGTTGTCGTCGTTGTCGTCGTTGTCGCCGTCGTCGTCCTCCCTCCTCCCTCGTCGTCGTTTTCGTTGGCGACGTCGTCGTCGTCTTCGTCGTCGTCGGCGTCGGCGTCGTCGTCCTCGTCGTCGTCGACGCCGGCGTCGTCGTCGTCGTCGCCGTCGTCGTCGTCGTCGTCGGCCGTCTTGCTTCTCCGGCCTTCTTGGGGCGCCCTTGAGACGCCCCCGAGGGCTCCAAGACGACCCCGGAACGATATCTGTGCTCGGTCCCGCATGGGTTCCGCAAACCAAGTTGCGGGTGGGTGGGTGGGATGATTCCGCGAGCAGTGGAGTTGACAACTTCAAGTTCGGCAAGTGATTGGTTGCACCACATAGATTGCACCGCGTATACCCGCCACAATGTTTGGCACGAAGTGGAATGCCCCAAGGCTCATGCAGCACTGAGAAGGCTGTGCTGCTGCTGCTGTTGCAGCTAGGACTGTAAGCCTTCAAGGGCACGGACCAATCGTTTCCCGGGTTTCCCCTGGGTTCGCCGGAATCGCTCGCGTCGGCCTACCCCGCCCAGGAGGGCTCCAAAACGAACCCAGATGGCTCCAAGAGGCCCCCAAACTGGTCAAAGAGGGCCCCGAGTCGGCCCAAGATCCCTCCAACACGCCCGCGATGGCCTGAAGATGGCCCTAAAGACCTCCAAGACGCCACAAGAGGCTTCCAAGAGGCCCCCCAAGAGGGCCCCAAGAAGCAAAATCTATGATTGTCTTGAAGTTTTTGAAGGACTTGGGCGGTCTCGCATGTTCGGTTTTCTGACGCTCCACGACGGCCCAATGAGGCCCCCAAAAACCACCCCAAGACGGCCCAACAGAAAGAGCGAGGTACGAGTGATGACGTTCTAATGTGGGGCGAAGCCCTTAAGGGAGGCGTCCAGGGGAGGGGCGAGGGGGGAAGGAAGGGTTGGTAATGGCCATTATCTGGTTTCCCCAAGGTTTTTGCATGTTTTTCGGGCTCCCCCGAAAGACGGCCCAAGAGCGCTCCAGGAGAGCCCGAGACCGCCCAAGACGGCCCAAGAAGCCCCCAAGAGGCCCCCAAGAGGCGCCCAAGGGGCGTCCCACCAGGGCCCCCAAAGGCCCAAATCATTGATTTCCCGTGGGAAAACTAGCATGTTTAGCATATTCGGCGTTTCGGCTTTCACGGCGTTGACGACGGCCCAAAAAAGCCCCCCAAACCGCCCCAAGACGGTCCAAGAGGCTCCCAAGAGGCCCCCCAAACCACCCCAAAAGGGCCCATGAGCGCCCTCTTGGGAGACTCTTGGGCCGTCTCGGGGCGGTCTCGGGGGCCTCTTGAGGCCCAGCCAACAGCTTCGCCTCAGGCGAAGCCAAGCTCCAGCTCTCTTGTACCGTAGTAACGATAGTCCCAATAGGAGAGGATGTGCCATCTTAAGCAATAGGAAGACCCTTTTGGTCTCGACAGCGATTGCGTGCCCCGCGATGAGACACAGTCATATTTGGGCGGCCCGCCGCTTGAGCCGACGCGGCCGCGGGCGCACGCTCGCTTCCGCTCCTTACGTCCC